GGGGGTCTCCAGACGGGCTTCTAAATGACGACGGAATAATTGAAATAAAATGTCCCTTCAAAGTGCGCAACTGCGATCGTACAGAAACTTAAAAAAAAAACTCGAGTATATTGATAATGACGAAAAATTAAAAATGATTGGAATTACTACTTTCAAATTCAAAGTTTGCTTGTAATTACTAAGGGACCGTGGTGCGAATTCGTTATTTTCAATTTTAAAGGTATTCAACTAACACAAAGAATAGAGAGAAAAGAAAAATTTTTCAAAAATAAAATGTTGCCCATGCTACAAGAATTCTTTTATTACTATTATTTACATAACTTACTAGATATTCGGAATATCGATGAAACTACACGTAAATGGAGACTATATTTCGTCCGAGCAGTCGTTTGCAAAAGTTAACAAAACATTTTTTTTGGAAAATGTTTTTTTCGCAGTGTGAGACCCAGTAGAATAATTTCACAAGGAATAATTTTCACGTGGAGGGTTAGATTGGGTCACTATAAACACTCTCTACTATATTTCGTCCGAGCAGTCGTTTGCAAAAGTTATCAAAAAAATNGTAGTGGTACTTCATTTTAGTGCAGTTTGACGTTATCATTATATTTTTAAGGTAAGTTCAAAACATCATTGCATTCGAATATTCTCACAAACAAAATAGTACGAACTGTTTTCTAAAAACACGTGCTATCGGGAGGCTTTGAACAAACGTGCCGGGGAGGCTTTGAACGCTGTTCAAAGCCTACTCGTACTGTTCAAAGTCACCCCGTGAAGAATTATCAGTCTAAAGTGTCACATAAAAATATTAAGTTATTCATTTATTTCAGTTGCAACACATCAATATGCCTAGAGTTTACAAGAAAAAGGGTACGAGGGTCGAATTCAACGAAGTAGACATGCAGAAAGCCATAAGTGATGTACTTGATCGAAATCTTTCTTTGCGGGTTGCCGCAGAGCAAAATAATGTAAAACATACGGCTTTGTTTTATAGAATTGAGAATAGAGTCGAGCAAAAAGATTATACTTCCAAATATAACACGAAACAGGTGTTCACAAATGTGGAGGAGACTATGCTGCAGACATATTTACTAAGGACTTCCCGCATGAATTACGGATTAACCTATGATTCTACCCGTAAGCTGGCATATGAATATGCAATTAAGCTGGAGAAACAAATTCCTGAGAATTGGAGGCATGGCGAAAAAGCTGGTATTGAGTGGATGAAGGGTTTCATGAGAAGACATCCAACTCTCAGTTTGCGAAAGCCTGAAAATACAAGCTTATCGCGAGCAACCAGTTTCAACCCAGTTAATGTTGCTCTATTTCAAGATAACTATGCTAAAGTTATGGAAAAATATAGGTTTGCTCCAGAAAGGATTTTTAATCTTGACGAAACTGGAATATTGACAGTTGTACAAGCTCCATATGTGATCGCTGGAAGAGGAATTAAACAAGTTGGTCAGGTTGTTTCTGGAGAACGCGGCAAACTTGTTACTATGTGTGGAATAATATCTGCCAGTGGAAGTCCTGTTCCTCTAGTTTTTGTTTTCCCGAGAGCGAGGATGGTGGATACTTTAATGAATGGGGCTCCTGACAGGAGTTTAGGTTTTTCCAATAGTCCGGAAAGTGGTTGGATGACTGCGTGTATAAACAAATATACACGCAGTACTAAAGACGATCCAATACTCATCTTAATGGACAACCACGAGACACATTGCTCATTAGAAGCAATTCTCTATGCCAAGGAAAATGGTATGATTTTGCTCACTTTCCCTCCTCATTGCTCGCATCGACTCCAGCCTTTAGATATTGGTGTCTATGGGCCCTTCAAGGCAAAATTCAAAACTGCTTCCAATGACTGGATGCTGAACCATCCAGGCAGGAACATAACCATTCACAACGTCATGGAGATTACTGCTATTGCCTATACATCTGCTTTTACCATCTCCAACATAAAGGAAAGTTTTAGGAAGCCAGGCATATGGCCGGTTAGTAGATTGGGAAATAGCAAATGGGAATCCAAATTCTGATTTAATCACGTATGTAAACTCAAAATTTCTCTATATTGAACAAGCTTTAAAGCGTAGTTTTAATTATATGTTATCAGAGGCAATAAACAGAAGGTGTTTACTTAAGCGAGAGATACTTGTAAATCGTTTAGCCATAGCCCGTCAGTCAAAGGACGAGGCCGCTTTAATTTTGAGAACTCAGCCTGGATGTGGCGAAAATCGCCGGAGAAATCATATACTTGATGAAATGTTTACCAGTCATAATAGAAATTAGGCGTGATAAATTTTGTTATCAAGAATTACCTGTTATGTATAACAACCGTAGCCTGTTTATGGCACCTGTATCTAGAATATTACAGAAATTTTCTCGACAGACAGATTGTTCACCTGTCATACCCCCAATGTTTCATCTAGATGGGAAATGGGTAGCTTTTAGCCCATACCCTAGTGCAGCCGATACCCCGGGATAAGTACGATTGTATAGCCAAAATGAAGTGAAATTCCATAAAATACGGAACATTGCCGGCAGTGGAATATACACGAACACAGAAATGAGACAGGCTCAAGA